GTTCATCCCAGCAACCAGCACATTAGTTTAAGACAAAAGAAGTATTCAGTTTGATTGCTGAATGAACGGAGGAAACGAATAAACAAAGCCCTAGTGAAACATGCCTGGGAAGTGCCAGGAATAACTGGAGTGTCACCGTTTAGATATGGAGAGTAAAGATACAGAAAAAACTATCAGCAAATAAATCTGCCCCAGCTGTTACAAAATATGGGTTTGTCAAAAATCTCTTTATACACAAGAAAGCCACAAAGAAGTAAATAAGATAAATTCATGTTAACTATGGAGACTATCTCAAGTCTATAGTTTCCTAAAGGAAAGATGTGTATTCACATTTATGTCACGTGTAGCATACGCATGCTCACTATATGAATGCTGTGGTCTCCACTGAGGAGGGTGTACAGATTTGGGAACGTGAATTCTTCTGGTTACACTGCGGGAATGTAGTCAAAAGGAGAAAAAGTGGTGGAGGAGACCTGGTTTCCACTTGCCCACCGACTGACCTTGGAAAGTCCCTGGACCTCTCCAATTATTAGTGTCTTCATTTACCAAAAAACACAAGGAACAATATCCCCATTATAAGGTGGTATTTGGAACTAAATAAGACAAAACCTCTCTAAAACTGTCAATGGGTATAGAAATATAAGTAACTGTTATTATGATAGCTATTATAAATATTATTGTTGTAATATTATTGTTCAATTTGAAGAGCTTGTCATGTCTATTTTAAATCATTTGCCTACATTCACTGACTGATTTATTGATAGCAAATATTAGACATAAAATTTTAAAGTTTTATTTTCAATGTCACAGTTTTCATTTTATTTTATTTCTACTTCTGTTTAAAAAAATATTTTCTAATATTCATTAGGATTTCTTTATGACCCATGGGCTATTCAAAAGTGAGTGCTTAATTTCTAAATCTCTAGGGATTTTCTAACAATAACATGTAAAATTTATTTATAGTTTAAATCGACTGTGTTCAAATAACATATTCTGTCTTGTTGCTATTCTCTGTATGGTTCATGAACCCAATTATAGCAGTAACATTTGGGAGCTTGTTGGACATTCTAATTTTTTCTAAACCTAATACAATTTAGGGTTTACTATTATAAGCACTTTGGTGAATTCATTTACTCCTTAAAACAATCCTATGAAGTGGGCAGTATTGTATCTCCAATTTACAGATGAAGGAACAGAGCCACTGAAAAGTTAAGTAACATTGGCTGAGATCTCATATCTAGGAATAATAACAGCAATAAGGAGAGTAAATGCTGACATGGTGCCTGCCCTGGCCGGCTCTGCGCTAGTGCATGCCACACATTAACTAACAGAATTCTAACAAACAGCAGCTATCGCCACTGTCCTTATTGTACAGAGGGGGGAACTGAGGGTAGAGATTAAATAATTTGTCCAGGGCACAGAGCTGGTAAGTGGCAGAGCAGGAGTTCAGAGCCAGCCAGAGCTTTCCCCAGTAATCTAATATACTGATTCTTGTTTATTGGTGGCATTTTTTCCAGCTCTCTGCTCACCTAAGTGAATTTTCTAGGTAAATGCTTACCACTTTCATAATCAACTATTACATCATACACACATTTCTTAAATTAATTAACAATTCCCTTTTATGAAAATACACTAAATGCCATGTAAACTTTTTCCTAATGGTCCTGGGTCACTGTTGTGGTGCTGTGTTTTATCCGTTCTGCTCTACTTTTTATTTTAGTCTTTATAGGAGAGTTTTTTAGTCTCTTTTCTAGCTATGAGCCAGCTGATGGTCATTTTGTCACGCTCTGCTGAGGGCTGTGAAACTGGAACCCTCGCCAATTGGGACTTCCCTAATGTAAGGTGTGATGAGCTCTGAGTTGGTGCCAACTCTATAAACTTGAGTGCATTATCTTTATTATGACTATTGCATATTTCCACTGAGATGAGGGTAAGTCTGGCCTCTGGATAAGTACTCGTAATGAGAAATCATCTCTACTGTTCAGCACTCAAGTTCATTTTTTTAAATCATCATACATGTCTGGCATATACATGAGTATGTTTAAAGTTCACTTTCCTATGGAAGAGCAAGCCTTGCAAAAACCTAAGTCACATATCTTCTACCTGAGCTGACACTTTCTATTCCCCATCCTGCTATATTTATATGTTTACTTGTCTCTCTCACCAATGCAGAACTTAATACAAATAGCTAACATTTATATGGTACTTCCTATGTACCCACCACAGTTCTAAGAAATGTGTCCATACTGATTCATGTAATATTCACAACAACTCCACTTTACAGGTGAGGACGCTGAGGTGTAAAGATGAATTAACTGGCCACAGGTACTATATCCAGCAGTGGGGGGCTGGGATCTGAAACCAGGCAATCTGGCTTGAGCAATGGTTCTATGGACTCGGCTCTACTATCTGAGAACATAAGTTCTAAAGGAACAGTGACTTTGCTTTGTCACTGCTGAATGCCCAGGTGCTCAATAGACATTTTGTTGACTGCCCAGCTCCTCTCCTTCAGTTTACCCTGACTTAGCCTCAAAGTTTGTCCCTGACAGGCAGAGTAACATTCCAGCCCATTCTTTCACCTACTGAAGACTTTCCTGGATGCAGTTTCTTCTGACCCACCCTTATCTGGCATGGAGCCTTGGACCCATCAGAATGGTCAATAAATACTCATCAAACGAATTAGTCTTTTATGTATATCGGAGCTGTTGACAAACACAAAGGTTTGGAATCAAATAGTATAATGTGATCAGGTAGTAGGAGGATGTCCTAAAAATTGCACTTGACTGAATTAAAAGTTGATTTTGATCTTTAGTGAGCTGTGGGAATTTCACTATTCCAAACTTCAGCGTGTTTCTTTTTTGTTAAGACTAACTTCTTAAGGCAGTTTTAGGTTTCTGACAAATTTGAAAGGAAGGTGGAGAGATTTCCCATATACCTCCTGCCCCTCAATGTACGGAGCCTCCCCTATTATCAATATCATATGGTATTTCCACTGCCCTAAAAATCCTCTGCTCTTTGCCTATTTATTTCTCTGCGACCTCCAGCCTCTGACAACCACAGATCTTTTTTACTGTCTCCATTGTTTTACCTTTTACAGAACGTTATGTTGTTGAAACCCTACAGGATATAGCCTTTTCAGGCTGGCTTCTTTCACTTCATCATATGTACTTAGGGTTCCTCCATGCTGTCCTCATGACTTGACAGTTCATTTCATTTTAGTGCTATATAATATCCTCTTGTCTGGCTGTACCAGATTATTTATCCATTCGCCCACTGAAGGACATCTCGGTTGTTTGCAGATATGGGCAATTGTGAGTAGAGCTGCTACAAACCTCCATGTGAATGTTTCTATCTTTTAAACATGTGAAAATATACTACATATAAGGCACTGTGCACTTGAGATGGATTATGCACATTCAGTCTTTAAGAAATTCCTATCAGGTAGGTGCTACTATTGGCCCATTGTACAGATGAAAAAAAGCTGACTAGAGGCTAAGTAATTTACTGTGGGCCACAGAGATAAACCTGGAGCTAGTATGTCTAATTCCAAAGTTTAGCTCTTACAAACTGTGTTGTATACCATTTTCCATTTTAAACTTATGCCATGTAACAACAGCTGCCATCATAATGATTATGTATGAAATACAGACTGTGAATTGAAATAGTTGCCAACTGCTATGGGTCTTGAAATCAAAGTAAAACCTGTAAATTCAAGACTCAGCTTCTATAAGCAAAAGCTTCATTTTTTCTTCATTTTTTCATTTTCAAAGTTATTTCTGACTTCTCTGGAATGAGGAGGCCATGTAAAACAGTAACTTCACATTTTAGAGATTCATTCATTTAACTAGTATTTGTTGAGCCCATGTCATGTGGTTGGTAGTGTGACAGAGACAACAAATGAGGAGTAAGAGAGTGTAGAGGAAGCAGAAAAGTAATCGGAACACAGAAAATGACTGGGGAGGGAGAGCAGGGTTGGGCAGGGTGCAAAAGTGGAGTTCGTTGCAGGCAGTGTGTGCAACAGGTGAGATTACTACACAAGAAAGAGAATGTGCCAATACTGGGATCAGCTTTCATCTGTGGATGGAGGACCTAACTAAGGAGTTTGGGATAGGATAATGGGGAATCTTGGCAGGAAGTAAAATGCTCTTACGTGTTTTTAGAAAGATCAATCTAAAAGTAGCGGGGAAAATGGATTAGATGGGGCAATGCCTGAATCAAGGAAGCTGCACGGGTGTTGAATTTAAATAACAGTAGAAACTGTAACATATTGACTATGGAGACAGTGATGTGGGAGTTGATTTGACAGCTATTAAGAAAGTATATAGCCTTGATAATTGATGGGAATGCAGAAGAGGTGGTGTCAAAGATATTGCCCAGAATGTGTTTTTGGTGACTGAATAGACAGTGGCGCCCAAGATAGGGAGTCTAAGGGGGAGGCAGTCCGGTGGGGGTGGGGAATGGAGGTGGGACATGGTATGTAGCCTTGCATATGTATGCAGTTAACTGGCATTTGGATTCTGGGGTACAGAGCTTCGTGGAGGTGGAGGCTTTCCTGAAGGCATACGGTGCCTGACGATATGGAGTGGACAGGCTCCCCACGTGCGGCGAGGGGCAGTCAAAGCAGCACCACACATGGGAACGGCACAAAAGCGAACCCCGTAAGGGCGTGCGTGAATGAACCTCCAGTGGCGTCGGAGCAGATCGGAAGAGACGGACTCAGGCTCCAGGTAACCAGAACAATTCCTTCATCGAACTGAGAGGACCATCAACCACCGCTGGCACTTTCCCACCATTCACATCCGCCCAACACCAAGCATCGGTTCAAGGCAGGCTCACAGTGACTCACCTACCACGACAGCCCACACTCGCTTCCCCTGCCTCGAGCTCAGCTCGAGGGGAGCTGCCTCCGAGGCCCCAGGCCCCCGGGGCCTGTGGGCGACTCCCTGGAGCCCAGCCGCACCCCGCGCGCCGGCACAGGAACGCCCGCCCCTGCCCCTCACCGCCCGACGGAGGCTCCCTCCTCAGGCCGAGCTCGAAACCGTCCTTCTCATGGCCGCTGCTGCAGTCGCCGCTGCTCCGGATCGGGGGGCAGTCCCGCCGTCCCCCAGCCCACTCCCGGTCCCCTCGACCTCGGGGACACCACGGCCAGCAGCACCGTTGGTTTTCAATCAAATCCTGCTCTAGGCCACCAACCGGCCCTGGCTGAACCAATGCCTACCCTTCTTCTTCCGCCTGGCCGGGACGCCGCAGCCAATCAGGAAGAGCCGCGCTGCGGGTTGCGAGCGCCTTAGCGACGGGTGACGCCTGCTTCGCGGTTGCCACCTGCTTCGCGGTTGCCACAGCAGTCAGAGACCGCGCACGGCTTCAGCCCCAAGGCCGCAAGCTGCAAGAGGAAGGAAGAGTGCGGAGGCCACTACCCAAACTTAGCTAGCCTACTTGTGAGGAACGCCTAAGCGCTTTGGGTTTTTCTGACCTTGGTGTGCCGAGACCTTAGGATTTTAAATAAAATGCATGGAAAAGAGAAGCTTCATTTTAGGGTGTTTAGTTTCAAAACTTGCTATGGACTGAAAATTCTCTTCCAAAGCAAAGATAGCCTTGGTAATTGATGGAAACGCCGTTAGAGGTGTCTGTTTGGTGACTAAATAAATAGTGGTGCCCAAGGTGGGGAATCCAAGGGGGAGGCAGACCAGTGGCAGTTTGGGCTTGGAGGGTGGGAGATGGCCTACTTTCAAAAGAATCAATGCTACATGCTAAAGAGCATTCAATGGCATGAAAACATTTTCAGTTACTCAGACGCACTGAGAATACGGCAATGAGAATATGCTGTGAAAATAAGAGTGACCTGGGATTCAGGAGATCTGTACAGTACACCTATCATTAGTTTGTGGCTTTAGACAAGGCTCTTCACCTTTTGTGAAAGTCTGAAGCTTCTTCTTTAAAAAAAGCTTTATTGCATTAGATAAAGCTTTAAAAAGATATCTGACTTCACATTATAAAACTTTAAAAAATGTAAAATTTGAGCGCTCACTTTTTGCCAGGCAATATTTCAAACTCATCATTTCAGTTACTCTTCACACACCAACTGGTCATTATTTTTCATCCTAGTTTATCTGCAAAATGGAGGCACAGTAAGTTTCTTGAGTTGCCTAACATGGCAGAGCTAGTGAGTGATGGAAGCAGGGTAGAATCCAGTTTGGAGCTAGAGACCCTTCTAAACCACAATGATGCTCCCTTGAGAATTTATATATAGGACTTACTCAATCCCACCTTAGTATCACTCCAAATGCCCACTGGTGTCAATCAGTGCAGTGATTCTCTATCAGAACTTGATTTAAAATGAATACAGTGAACCCTTCTCTGATGTTTCTTTTCCATGAATAACAATTTAAAATGAGCCAAATAGGATAGTAACACTTGCGTTTGTATAACTGAAAATATATTTTTAACACTAAAATAGCTTTAAGGTCCCATTTAGGGACTATATAGAAAGGTGAGATTGAAATCACTCTCAATATAGCAGAACTTAATTTCTGAGAACATCAAACCAGCAGTGTTAATATTACCAATCAAAAAATTGACAGGGGCAGGCAGACTGATGATGAGATTAAGCATTCTCTACATTTTAAATATTAAGCAGGGAGACAAAATGACTCCAGTGAACTTCACTTTTTATCAGAATATTGAATGTGTATTCCATTTTTCTCCTCAACAAAACAAAATCTTCAACTTAAGTTTTGACCTTCCCTGAGTATGACTGAAAGTTGCCTAGATTAAGAAGCAGGAAAGACAGTGGCCTCTGGAGGAGAGATGTGCTGTCATCTCCACCTGGTTTATGGGTCCATGCTGTGCTCTGTAATGTGTTAAAGACACATGATGCCCAAGGAGTCCTGCTTGCACCAAGCTTATGGCCTAACAGGTAGGGAACAGGCCTAACATCCCCTTTTTATGTTTTTAACACTAATGTTTTCTTTTATATCCTGAAATAAATTCACAGAGACTCTAAATTACATAGTTCAAAAGTAAAACAGTATAATGTAACTATAACAAAGAATAAAAGTAACTTAAATAGGTATTAAAATAGATAAATATTCAGGATTGATTTAATAAAACACTTCCCACCAATTTCTAAAATAATATGGCAAGAACTGATACTCGAGAGTTCAGGTACACCTTAATGAGCAAGATCAAACAAAAATGAGGGAGAAACTATTTCCTTTCCTGCCCTCCCCATAAAAAACATCTTAAATTTCTTCAGACAGGAATAATATAGTGACAAAAATGCTTTCTTTTGCCTAAAGCAAATGTAGGCAAAACTTTCAGATGAAATTTCCAAAACCATAGCATCTTTCCCCATCTCACTCCCAAAGGTTATCAAATTCACAATGGGACATCAAAAGCTTTCCAGTACAGAACACACAGAAGGAGGGTCGTACAAACATGTCAAGTAACTTTGGAAAGCAAACCAAGGCCTGTCCTTTAGCTAATATTTTTAAAAGATTCATATTTAGCCCTTAAAAACAAAAGAGAACAAGGCTTGAGTTCTATGAAAGCTCAATATTGACATGCTTATTATATACACATTATGTAATGTGTGTTCATTCTACATCACATCACAAAATTCTATCCTCAATAGATGTGTCTTTAAAAATAGGGAAAATAATGGACCAGCCTATATTAAAGGAGCTTTAATTTCAATATTCCTAAACATACAATATTTTGTTTCATCTTCTTTTCTGTTTCCTCTTTCGTGTGTCCTTCTTACTGAAGCATATGTTAGGAAACCACCTATTTTTAAACCCTCTATCCCTCCTCCTGAGCAAGGTATGCAGCTCTTCTAATAACCAAAGTACAAAAGAAAGACAATATCCAAAAACTAATTCAGTAGACTTTTATTGCTCTTTCAAACTTCAATAACATCTCCAAAAAATAGTCTTCTAACAATTTTCAAACAAATTTGAAAGGCAGGATCATTCACATTATAGACTTGGTAGAGACCTGTAGTTCATATAAATGAAAAATAACAGTTCTATGTTTTAAATGTTCAATTTACTTTGGATTTTATTACAAAAGAAAATATCATTGTAATTATAAAAGTCTTAAAATTAGAACTGTACTGTGAAATTATACCAAGCTATCAAATATTATATAAATGAACAATAAAATTCAATTTCTATTTATTTAAAAGTCATAAAACTTTGGAAGATAACCCCCCCTACAAAACAAAAGAATAAAACTTTTAATATTAAAGCAACTAAAGAAAAGCCACAACACAAAACTCAGTCAATGCACAAAAATCTGATTAAAAAAACCAGTTAACTGTGTAAGTCAATATGCACTAATTAAATTTTTTAAATGATTTTTAGATGATTCCATTTCCAACATTGTTTTCCTATTATTGACACTTTTTTGAAAAGTTAGAAAAGAACCAACTTTACATTAAAGTTGTCATATTGTGAATTTTGAACACTATTTTAAACTTCGAATGTACTTAAAATCTTTACATTTACTTTCTAAAATATAAATAATTGTTGGACTAAGCCAAGACATTTCACATACTTGTACTGCATGGGATAACAAAGATGTGATCTACATAAATAAATTTAAAACATTATTTAACTTAAGCATATTTGAATTACAATGTTGTATCAATGGCTTACACATCCGAAATCTGAGCACTTTAAAGCAGGATTCACATGTTATACTGTTCAGCACAGTTACAGAACTGATGTACATGAAATAATCCTTTAAATACAGCAAGCTCTGGTATCATACCTCAGTTTCAGAAACCATTTTTGTTTTACAGAGTTTTAAACCTGTCTTTATGAAAGGATAAAGTTAGATAAAAACTATTATGTACATACATGAACTTGAAGTATGTGGAGGAAACAGAAATGTATTTTGGAGAAAATAAAAGTTAACAATTTTGAGTGGTAAATAAATCTGCTTTATAAATACATGCATTAGCACATACCAAATTTTGTCCTATACATTTTATAGAAGACTTGGCAAATATGAACACTGATATGCCACAGCATTTTTAAACAACTCGAGATTTAAGAGCAATAACATCATTCACATACACACACACACACACACACACACACACACACACACACACACCACATTAGAAAGACTGTGTGCTTCACTTAGGCATTTCTAATATTATTAGAGAATATATAGAATCATCCTTTATAATAAGGAAGTTTAGTTCATTGTTTTCTCAAAAGCTGCTATTTTAGAGTGAAATAGCTTTCAGAAAAAGTCAATTTCAGATGGTCAACATCAGGATTTATTATAGTCTTTGTAAACAGATACCTATAAATAAATAAAATAGGGTAGAGAAGACTATCCTGAGGTGGCTCTGTGGCCAGGGTGTTCAGTAGCACTAAGCTCCATCCTGGAAACCAAGGCATCTAGGAAAGTGCAGGGCTGTCTAACTTACTTTGAAAATGTAGTATGTACAGGTTTAAATATTTTGCACCTTGAGGTAAATCAGTATAGCAATTATTACTGTTTATTTATACCTATTTAAGGCAATCTTTAAAAATCAATACATGTAGTAAGTCATATTTTTCACTGTCTTACAATGAATGCTATCATTATTGTTTTTTCAAAAAAAATAGTGGAAAAATATCATAATCATGTAAAACAAGCAGTTAATTACTTAATAAAATGAGTTACCTTTGCTCTTCAATGGAGTAGTCATATCAGATCATTTTGTAAGTCAAGTAGTCAAAAGAAAACAAACTATTAACATTAGAAACATAGTAAAAACATTTTGAGTGCCAAGTATTTTGCAAGTCATGGTTTTTCTGGCACTGGACAATTATTATACATCATTAAATAAAATCACAGAAACACTATGATCCCAGGTAGTTTTCAGTTTAAATTTTAAAAACACTTGCTGTAAAATAAGCACATTTGTTAACCCTATGATGTCCAGACACAAAGAAATGATGTAAGGAGATCCTCTTGTTCAGGTACATCAGGGGAGTTTACAAAATATATAGCAGCAAATACTGGGGTCTTTGGAAATGATTATGCTGCTATAAATCAAAAGGAATCACTTCAATGGAAGCTCATAAACAGTAACAAGCACCATGGGTAATACTCTATTATCAACTGCCAATAGAGTCTAACTCCTTTCTAGGCAGTACCAAATGATGCCAGCTATATTCTCTAAAGAAA